CGGGGGATGTGATGAATTTTTGAAGAATTCTGTCAATAGCAGTCGCTCTCTCGCCGATGAATGGCGGGAGGCGGCGGTCGCGCGGAGAGACTCGGCAATCTACAATGACGAATTCCTTTCAATATTTCATGAGGTCTATAGACTCCAGTCAGTGTTCTCATCCCGACGGCATCGATCGTCCCCGTCTGCTAAGTGGAATATCTTTGATAAGTCAAGCAAGTTATAGTTGAAGTCTTCACGCTCGGCGACGAGAAAGCTTCCATAGCGACATGGTGCATTAATGTAATTAAGAATTTCTAATTATATCTAAGTTTATTAGAGTTTATTAACGGGGAAGATCTGAGAAATGTAATTTCAAGCGTACTCCAAGAAACTTTGGTCTAACATTGCGCTCATGAAATATTTGGTTTTGCATCGAGAAACAATTATATTTTGTTTATAATTTATTAATAATCATCGACTTGCGATTTAATATGCAAGATAATTTTGTCGAGTTGGAAAATCCATCTGCGACTCCGGCGTGGATCTATTCCAAAATTCCGAGCAGCTGCTACAGTATGAGGATTTACGAGAGAGAGAGAGAGAGAGAGAGAGACAGATAGAGTAGTAACTTAATACGAAGTTCAGTGTCAAGTGCGTATCGCGTTACGAGCGTCATCCGATCTTTCTCGTACCGAGAAATCGAACTCCTCCGATTAGAGTGATCGCGATTTGATTCGTCTTATCGGTCGGTTTGTGGGAAGGAGACGCGGGAGAAGAGAGGCAAGCGAGATAAATCGCCCCGTTCGAATCGTCGCCGCGTAACCCGCGGCATCATTTACGAAATTAATCTGCAAATCGATTCACACTGTAATGGATTATTCGAGTACTTCGCGCTAACGAGTTGACGCAATTCGAGCGTGATAAATTCCGGGTAAACACGTCTCATTAGAGCGATTGCCGTCCGTGCCGATTGTATCTCTGAAAAAGAGCGAAGGTGGTGGTGGCCTTAAAATACATTCGGGACGCGCGCGTAATCGCGATTGCCACACTCTCACGAGGCGCACGCCTCGCTCGATGACGAGGGGGAAGTTTTCTGCAAATGTTACGAGAGAGAGAGAGAGAGAGAGAGAGAGAGAGAGAGAG